TATGTGGCAAAAAAACGTTAATTGAAACGTTATTTTTCGATATATGAACATGCATTGTTAAATAGACATATTCCGTTAAGTTTATCGCTCTATATTGTTTAAAGTGTCTTATTTTCCGGAAGAGAAAAGTTATTTTTCTTATCAACACATTCCATCCTTTACGGTTAAATAATCTTGTAGTGCAAATCTTGAGATATACCTAACAACTTATGGAATTCGACGACAATGAAATAAATATCTCAGCGGTTTGAATAATACTTCACTGTCTATATATATACCCGTTATTCGAATGTACTGTCTCAGAGTGATTCTATTGTAATTATATTCCGCCCCAGTAATAGAGACTTTCTTGTGCATTTTCTTTCCATTTCACTAGTAGTAGTTAGATGCATGATTGCCACTTATTTACTCGATTCAATATTTACGCAGTTTCTCCTTAAAGTTGAAGACTGCCGTATAAAACGATCGTTGTTCTTGAGTTTCCTGTTTTGAAGTATCAACGCTGAAAATTCGCGTGCTTAACAGTCATCAGCGCGATACTCTTGACTTATAGTTTCTAAAAATTAATAAAACAAGAAGCTATTTTTAAAATAGCTATAGTCTCCGGAATCAGTTAATAACATATGTCATAGATTGATTATATGTTCTTTTTTGTTTATATTTCGTTAAAGCAGAATATCATATATATGAATTATAGACATTTTTATTTAAAATCTTCCTCTAACAATTATTGAAACGCTGATTTAGTGGTAGAGAAAAATCAAGTACACGCATTGAATCATCAAAAAAAAAAAAATAGAAATTTTTATTCGATTTTAACATTTAAAAATAACAGTTGATTTTACAGCTACTTTCAAGTTGCATTGATCACTTTGCTTTGTGGATATTTCTCTTTATACTCATCTACTTGTATGGTTTCATCCTTCAAAGAACAAGTCATGAAGAGTACAATATAGTATCATGATTCAAAGTTTTATTGTTTCATCGTTGAAAGAAGTAACAGAAAAACATTACTGCTTCATAGACAACGTAAATTTATTAAAATACTAAAAGCAACATTTTCAAACTATTCTATTAAATCTAGTTGAATCCTTTTCTTTTTTTTCAATATTTTTATTTCAATTTTATTTTTCACCACTGACCAAATAGTTCTTGTCTGAATTAGGTTCAAACTGCTAGCTGATCAATCCCATTCTTTGAGGTACATTTGCGTTAATAAATTGTTCTATCAACCATGCTTACATAAGAGTACTTTGTTATGTTGTTGTGACCGCTAATTTTCGCAACATTTTATTTAAGAAAGGACGAAATGATTAAAGAATATTAAGTCTCTTCGGATGATTTTCTTATTTTCACTTATTCCTTCAGGTATTATCTTATTATTATTATGAATAAATTGATTAATAACTCCTATTTTTTTGGCAGAGAGGCGCATTGTCGAATGTTTCTGTTTTGTTATTCAAATAAATTTATTCGCTCTAATTTGTGGATATTATGAATAGAGAGTCCTCACGGGAACCTTTGTTCTACACTTCACAATCGTGGTCGATCAAACGCCTTTGTTGCAATAATGTCGCATAAATAAAAAATAATTTTTAAAAGAGAATGCGGGGATGATATATTTAATTTATATATATATATATATCTAAAACAACACTACCCACACTGTCACAAGAGCATTGTTTTGTCCATCTTTTAAAGAATTATTACAAAAAGCTATAGAATCTATAATCCTTCCATATAATATAAAAATAGTTGATAAAGATTCTTCTTTTGATATAAGTTATTTTTTCTCAACTGTTGTACATGAAGATATATGCTAATATAGTTAGATTTAATAAATCAATTTTCTTCTCCTCTTAATGCCATATTTAATAGACTTAATTGAAGAAATAACAGTTATAATACGATTAGGAGTTAAAGTAACTAAATCTTCAGTATTTCATAAATAAACAATCATCATTTTTTTTTCCGAAAGGTTTAACCAAAGATGTATAATTGCATCTTCAAATACTTCATTCTGCTCAATTGAGCAATTCTATATGAAAAACAACTTATTTGAACAAAAGGAAATGTTTTTTAATAGGTTATTTTTAACTTCACTCTGTGATTATATTTATTCTTGAATGATATGTATAATAATTAAACTTTTATTTTATGAAAATCTTGTCATGGGATAAGATTTCTTATTATGAAAAAAAAAAAGTTATACTGATAGAAAAACAGAGGTTATTTACGTATTTATTAAAAGCTATGTACTTGTTTTTTTGTTTTTGCCTTTTAATAATTAAAAACAGGAAATTACTTTAGCTGAAGAACAAAAAAGATTCACAATTTAGTATTTCTAACTCTTATTTCAGCAATATAATATTAAGTTAACAATTCTAGGATATCTTCGTATTTGTGACAATGTCGTAGCAGTAATGAAAGAATACTTTTTAGAAGTTCCATTATATTCGATGCCGTTTAAACGTAAATTGATTGTGTTTTTCATTATATATATAATAAAATTGGATTTCTCTTTAATTCAATCATATTAGTCAAGATAATCCTTTTCTTATAACAAGATTTCTTCAAAGCAGCTTACAGAAAATTGTAAGTTGACATGCATAATCAAACATTTGTTGAGGCACGCACAAAAAATGATGATAACAATGGTTCAAATTAGTGGTGCAGACTTGTGCTCAGGTTACTCATGTGTCATACACACAGCAAATCTACTATTTCGAAAGAAGAATTTAGATAACCTTTTCAATGTATTTCTTATCGAAAACATGACTCTAATTTTTATTTCATTATTCAAATATGAGCTTGGTTTATGATAAAAAACCTAATGAAGCAAGTAAACCAATTTTTCCTTCTTTATCTTCATCTTTTCTAACTTACACAAAGTTTCTTATTTATTAGCATGAGATGATGAATTTAAATAAAAAAAATATGCTAGTAAATATGTAGATGGCGAATAACGACATATTATACAAAATAAGTGAATTAGCGGAAGTGTATAATGTATATAAGCAAGAACTTTTCAGCTACAGATCACTGTTTTTTTCTTCTATTATTCTTGTTCACATTCTACTCTCATGACAATTGCTTTTATGCTGAATGTCGTCTACAAAATGCCTATAGTTGTTATGCTCGCTATTCTTTTGAGAATTACATCTGTTAGTCCGCTAAACAGTCTACATCAACTATTCCTTCTTTACCTATTTATGAATACCATTGACCTTAATGTTAAGTACTCCTACTTTCTTCTCTCGTGAAGTATGTCAAAAACTAGGACTGTCATCATTAGCTGCATGCATATTGTTTCATTTGATAGAAATTTTTCATTATGATCCATTCCTTCTATTTTCCTTAGTATCTGTTTCTAAAAAAAAACACAATAACAATAAATATTTAGACAGAATACAGATCAAATTACAAACTATAAGATAGAAATGTTGACCTGTCAACAGTAATTGAGTCGTTTGCATGATTGAATAATAACACAAAAAGTATTGTTATTAAAATAATTCAAAGTTTTGTGTTGACATCTAAAATATTGTTATTTTTTTTTGTAAGAATTGAGAATAACCTATTATTATTGAATGAGATTACAAATAGAAGACAGGAGAGAGCAAATTTTTGTTTTTTCCGCAGTTGTTTTCAATTAAAAACCAACAATATTCTTTCTCGTTCATTTTTTTTCCGATATGGAAAGAATCAAACGACGTTGAATAGTTTTTTTTTCCATTCAATCGGGTAGAAATCGAAATTTCTATATGCAATATAAGAAACAAGTTTATGCTAGCTTATTATTATTAAGTTGTTTTCATCAAATAAGAATTTAACAAGGTATTTTGACATAAAATATAAGATAATTAATATAGAAAACAGCGTGATTAGATTAATATTTTCATAAACTCAATATTTTCTAGTACAAGCTCTACCATATTTAGATTTATATGTATGTGTACATGGAGCAGAGAGTCTATTTCCAGTATTCATGGTAGTTAATACTAAATATGTAATTGTTTGATGTTTACTTCTGAATCATCTTATTGTTAGTTTTTCTTTTCATCTATATTAGCTATTGGTATGTTTAACATGCAAAGAATTTACCTAATTGTCTTCTAATAATATCTCTGTTTTTCTTTCAATGAAATTAGATGCGAAGATATGAGAGAAGCATATATTGGAAACAATATATATGACAGAAATGTGTTTATCTTCTTCTTTTTTTTTCTTGCTTATTGCAGATTTAACAATATGTGACATGCTGGTTAATAGGATCATTTTTGCTTTAATGAGTTTCCTGAACTTCTACTATTCGTTATCTTCTTTTCTCAATTAAAGATAAACGCTCTGTTGAATAGAGAAGTATATATTTCTGATAGGCGTTCCTGTATATAGATTTTCCTCTCTTCCTCTCTTTTTCTCTGTCCCATTTTTCTTTTTTTTCCTATTATATATATATATATATATATATATTAATTTTTTACCATCATTAATAAGAACATCAACACCAGAGAAACAGGCGATGTGAACTAATCAATGATATAATAGATAGAAACAAAATACAATATATATTTTACATATATATATATATACACAAATTTCTCATTTTCTCCTTTTCTTCATATATTCTTGTTGTTTTTACTATTCGTCTCATTGGTAAGTTTTTTTCTTGTGATGACAATGATTATCATCCTGGTTTCCTTTCAAAAGTCATCAACAAGCTAATCAATTCTAACTAGTAACTGAATATAGGAGAAAAGCGAAAATAAAAAAAGAGGGAGAGAATTAGATGACAAATGATCGTCATATGCTTGTTTAGTTGAATATGTCAAATCAGTCGACCACAAAAAACTTCTCCTTTATATTTAACATAAACAATTGATGTTAGTATTTCACATTGTATATGTCTATTGTTGCAGGTTATTCTGATCCCTTTTCATCTTTATTTCCTCTTTATTTTCGTCATCATCATTATTTGTTGCCAACATCTTGTCGTCGCAATGAAATCTCAAATGTTCGCTCTACTTTTACTGGTCATTAGCGCCTTTTTCTTTCAATCAACACATCAAGTAAATCATTAAAATAAAATAGTTCAATTTATTATTATTTTTTTATTTTTATTTTCTTAGTATCGTCTCTCAAAACGTGAACTAACTGAATATGACGTATGTAAATAAAAAACATTTCACATATTTTTTAATAAGGGTTTCTATTTATGTCCACATAGTTAACCAGTTTTATTGTCAGTACATGTTCAGCCGATAAAACCGACATGTTTATCCAGAATCTATGCGATCAAACATTGCAGTCGGCACTTATGGGTGTAAGTATTATTATAGAAGTTTCTTTTTTTTCTTCCAGAAATATACTTTATGATTAATGGGTAGGAGTTATAGTAGTTAGTAGTAATAGCCTACAGGCATAATGTATGAGAATGTTGGTTTTATGTTAATATATGCCCTTCCGATCATGTTACATTTTCTTTTATATAGAATTTTCCAATTCTGACCTATTATTGTAAAACAATCGGTGTCGAAATGAGTTATTGTAATAATATCAACCTACACACAGTTAGTAATCAGAATGTTGAAGCTAAGGTAATTTATTTGCTAATGAAAAAAAGAAAGATTTCTTGTTTATATGCATTTATATATTTATGTGTAATAGAGATTTGTTTCTCGTCGATTTGTACGAAGTCTTAATGAAGACAAGAAATTGTATCACAAAGGACAAGAGATCAATAATGACATTGACGTATGTATATTTTACATAAAAAAGCCATTAAGAAAATTCCACATCAATATAATCTTTTATTTTAGCTTGAAGAAAAATTGATTATGCAACTGTGTATGACAAAAACGGAGAAAAGTTCAATTGATACGGATAAATTTTGCAATCGAACATTACATGAAGTTCTGCAAGGAGTAGGATAAATTATAATTATTATTCCAGATATTGTAATTTTCACTTTTCTATCAATTAATTTTCTAGCGATATCCCGAAATAAAACGTCTTTGCAAGTATCATCCAAGCTTTGATTATTGCCGCCGTATACGGTCTTATTCATTATTACTCTCTTGGCCATTATTAAAATCATTATCTCTCTTATCATCATCAGCATATGCTATTACACCTGATGTTAATCCTTTGTTCATGCCATCGTCAGCATCCAAATCGTCTGACATTGAATCATTCATTGATCAACAAAGGATCAATGACGAAAAACAATTATCATTATCATAATCAACAAGTCGATATTTTTAAAGAATAATTTTGCCCTGACCAATCTCTACTAAGTCCAAAGGCGTCATCATCATGTGTGAGAGAGATAGAGAGAAAATAATAAAGAAGTGCAGGAAAACAGTAGAAAAAAAAAAAGTATATTGTCTAAAAAAAACTCATCTCTCCCATTGTATGTGTCTAGAATTCGTCTCCTATTACATTGCCATCTGCATGTTTGTTTTGTTCGTGTACATGTATATAACAAACAACGGAAAAATGGAAAAAAAAAGTACAAAATCATATTTATAAATTGTTAAAATCATATATGAAGCAAGAGGAATAAAAAACAAATTATATAACGAGATTTATACAATACAGAAGAAATGACACTTTGCATTTTTAATCGTCATTATTTTGTTCGAGTCATCCTTCGGTATTCAAGCTTTATGAGATTAAAATAAACGGTCATAGAGATTGAATACCAAAGAGGCAACCCGGCCAACTATTTCGATAGGAAAAAAATATATATCACTTGAAATTCTCACATCTATTTGACAAGATCAAGAGCAAAAGAATAACCGTAATGGCGCTTACAAATTTGTTCTAGTTGATGTTAAGATTACTATATGGATATACGATTGCACAAGATTGTATGCTACTCCTAGAAGAAAATGAAAGAGTATCGATGAAATAAGAGAGTAAAGCACAGCAGGCGAAAACCATCATTGTGTAGTAAAGGTGAGGAAGCATATTGAAATATGTCTTGCATTTTCTTCTGCTTCTTTTCTTTTACTTCTTCGTTGTCATCGCCTTTGCTGTATTAACATCAACAAACATCATCAAATACAGTCTTGAAAAAAAAAACACGAACCTTTCATCATTTGTCGATCACACTAGGTGTCTTCTACTATTTTGCAATGTTGGTGCACAAATATATATACCTATGTCTAATCTTTCCTGCATATATATATATATATATTATTGTTGACGACTCTCTCTCCTTTTTTTTCTCTTTATCGATATGGTTCAAAACGATTATTTTTTTTTTTCTAATGTATAGATGTATGATGAGAAAAAAAAGAGGTGGTTCGATCTTGTTCTTTCGACACAATAGGTCGTCATCATTTTCGTCAACAGTACATTACACACGAAAAGGCCACCATATGATTATTCCTAAACATTTAATTTAATGCGACAAATGTATAATACATACGTTGACATGTATTTAAAAAGAACGGACAAGACAGAATAATAATCATTTCTATTGTTCCTTCATTCGAATGCATTTATTGAATAGAGAAATAGAGAGCACAGCGCTTACAAAAGAAAAAAAAGAGGTGGAATAGCAAATTCACTTTAGGTGTATACACACGTAATACTAGCCTGCTTACAAAACTGAATAGCGCAGTATGCCGAGTATTCGAGCAATAACAACAAAAAAAAAGAGAGGAACGAAAAAAAAAACGAGAACCTTACGGAGGCCAGAGTATACATATTAATATGTACTTTAATAAAAAAAAGGAATTTGTGTTGTCATATGAGCGAATTCACAGTTTACAAAAAATAAATAAATAACAAGATCCAGAAAAGAAAATGAAATCGCCTGTTTTGTTCTTGACTACACATATAAAAAGAAAATCGACAAATAAAAACTATGGAAGACGAAAAGCGAAGAACAAATTCGTTTTTTTTTTTTCGTCAAACAATATTGAGACAAAAATATTGCAAATATAGTAAGATGAAAAAGATCTCAAAACGAAAAACAAAACATCTGATTATTTAAAATAGAACGACTAAATTTAAGATTTTCACGATGATGTGTATATTGTTGCTCTAAATTAAACGAAAAGAAGAAAGTTATATTAAAATAATTATGAATTTCATTTCATATTATTTTACTGAAGCATAGTCCATTTCTCTTTTTCATTTGATGTTGCTGGTGGTTCACATTCAAAAGAAGCAAGCATTAAAGCTAAAAAAAAAATAAATGTCTATTAAAGAAAATTAAAATATCTATCCTACAGTTTTCATTGAATGTCGGTGATGTAGTTATATAGTTAATAATCACATCATTTCGTTCAAATGAACACTAAAAGAAATATAAAAACTTTAGATATTTTATTATTCACAGTTTACGTTTTGTCATTAAAAAAAAGTTTCTATCAAACAATCAGAAAAAAAATATAGTTCGACTGTTTTTAGAGTCTTTGAAATTAGTTCGAACAATTTTTTTTTTCTTTATTATTATTAATAAATATCTACATACGAAAAACAAATCATTCAAATTTTAATCAAGATCATCTTACAATAAACTATGAATCATCATTATTCGATAGAATGGTAAATGATATTTTGACTATTTTTTTTCTCTTTTTGTATCAGTCTTATCTAATGATGAATACATGACAGGAAATAAGAATAGTGTCTTTTATATAGATCAAACATTTCCGCTTGTATGCGGATAATAGTTTTTATAATACTAAAAAAGCTGCATAAAAGATAATAAGAAACTGAGCTATTTAAAGAATATAGATTTTACTCGAAAAAGATTACATACTTTACTCTGTTTACATTGCACAAATTCTTCTGAAATAAATTTTGCCATAGAATCATATTTCTATGAGAGAAAAACGATATTTATATATTACATTTTGTTAAATATTAAAAAACAACAATGAACCTTTAAATTAATACCACCTGATACTGTGTTATCTTTACTATGTGTTTTTATAAAATAAACATCTTGTAGAACAAGACTAGTAAATGGTATAACTATTTTATCTACTGTCCAACCATATTTTTCAGCTTCTTCTTTAGCTGATTTAAATATAAGACGATAATTAGCAAAATTTTTTGAGACATTCATATATTGTTCAAGTTGTTCGAGTTTATTTGATTCAATTTTTTCCCACTAAAAGAAATATTTTAATTAAGAACAAGAAAAAGAATATTTTATACAAAAATATTCACCGTTCTTTTTAGACGTTTTACTGGTTGCATATTTAAACCACCTTAAAGAAATTGTTAAAATATCGACTTTTATTTCATTATAATAAATTTCATTTTTAGATACAAAAGAAAAAAAACTAATGTTTTTTTTTTAACTTTGAAGGAAAATTACACTACGATATAAACAACTCTCCAAACGATTGTTTCGTATTCATAATTGAAAATAATAACTAGCTACTTCAAAAGATATATGATACTTTTGGAACCTACAAATGCAGCACCTGTCATGATAAATGTTGAGAAATTCATAAAAAATTCATAAAATTATTATGACTTATATTATGAGATACTTGAAAAAATGTCATGAAATAATGATGCTTCTTTTTTCTATTTGAACTTTTCGTATATCTTATGTAAAATTATAGGGTATATTTCATAAGTGACATTGATAAATTTGAATTCTTGTCCGGCAAACCTAACAAATACTAAGGAAAATTATGACTTAGGATTGAAATACAAACATTTTGTTTTCATTCAATGATGCAAATAAATCATGACATGAATTCTAAGAGTTGTCTATATACAAAAAGAATTTTACTGATATGAAAATCCAACGATTTTGAATCTCATAAGTATACAGACTGTAAATTCGCATTTCACTTAAATACAATAGCTGCCTATCAGATTTATCAAGTATGCCCTTGACGAAAAGAAAAACAATATAAAAACAATCTTTGAGATAATGTATTAAGTATTGAAATACTAATAAAAGTCATTTTTTTACCAATTATTCCGAACATTGAATTAAAATTATGTAAACAAAAACATTCATAAGCAGCATCAATAAAATAACTAATCAGTCGTATACGTAAACGTTTTTGTGTATGTTTAACTATTTCTGTAGTAACAAAAGAAGTTAACCGATTAAACCATTGCACATAAGTTTCAAGACAAAATGTTAACTTTTTATCATGAACAATTTCTAATGATTTATTATTTGATGCTCTTGCTTCATTATTAGAAGCTCTAGTTGGATGTGCTTGTGCTTCTTCTAATGATAATTTCATAATGTAATATTGTATTAATTCTTCAGCACCAATTGGTTTTAATCTATCCTACGAAAGGAAACAATAAAATAAAAATAAATTCTATTCGAATAAATTAATACCAGCTCAATATGGGTTAATTGTTGAGCAAATAATATTGGGGTCGGACATTCATTTATAATATCAGTCTAAAAAAAAATACATAACTTGGATTGATAATGAAAAAATATGTAATTCACAATTAATGCCATATGAGTATGATTATTTAATGCTTTTGTATTTAATTGTCGAATATATTCTTCATAGTTTTCTAATGCTTTTAGCTACAAAAAAAACAAATCAACAACAAAATAAAAAAATTTGTTTTGTAATTTTTGTTTTATTAACTTTTGAAAGAAGTTTTTTCTTTATATGATGCGTAGCTGATTGAAGAGTTGGCTCATAAGAATTGATCTTTTTTAAAGTTTCTTCTAATTGTGTTATCATATCTGTATTACGAAAATCATATGGAAATGTACGGGTCCATTGTGATAGAACATCAAGAAAATTATTCATTATTCGAATACTTCGATCCTAAAATAAAAAATAAAAAATTTAATAACAATTTAAAATGAATTTTTTGTTCTACACATACACGAGTCGAATATATTGTTGAATTCATTGTTAATTGAGCTAATTTATTAAGTAATATACTCGGTTGAATATGCATTCTTGAGCATAAGAGCATTGGATAAAGAAATGATTGCTAAAGAAATAAGAATTATGTAAAATTCTAACGATGTGCTTATATAGAATTTAAAATCTGAAATATCTTGGAGATGATATGTCTCTCACAAGGGAACGTTCCCAAGTGATTAAAAGCTTTGGAGCTCATATGTTGCCCATTAGGTAGGGGACCACTAGATTAGAGAAACCTCCAAAGGATTCGTGCCCATATTGAGATTTGACAGAGATATCGAATTTTTAGTGGATTTTTCCTGCTGGACCCTAGTTCTACAGCAAAATCATATTTTCGAATTTCGACCTGAAATTTTGCCCAAATGAAGATCTCGATCAGAGTAGTTTGTATAAAAAATTTCAGAATTTTTGGACATTGCATCTCCAAGGTATCAATCTTTCAAAGTATCCATTGTATCTATAGAAAAGTGCCTATATTTTCAAAAATTGATACCTTGAAGATGCAATGTTCAAAAATTCTGAAATTTTTTATACAAGCTACTCTGATCGAGGCCTTCATTTGGGCAAAGTTTCATGTCGAAATTCGAAAATATGATTTTGCTGTAGAACTAGGGTCCAGCAGGAAAAATTCACTAAAAATTCGATATCTCTGTCAAATCTCAATATGGGCACGAATCCTTTGGAGGTTTCTCTAATATAGTGGTCCCCTACCTAATGGGCAACATATGAGCTCCAAAGCTTTTAATCACTTGGGAACGTTCCCTCGTAAGATGTTACTAGTACTCTTGAAACGTCCTATACGCATCAAATTGAAACGAAAAAACATATATTATCATTATAAAAAAAGCAGTGGATATCAGATTCTATTTGAAGAATTTAATGCATGAATGATGCACCAGCTCTAAGTGAAGTAGCAAGGAACTTGTTACTATCCCTAACTATCTCAATTTTATCGATGCTAATATACATAGTAGAATGTTTTTTTAATCGATCTTCGCGTTATGATAAAGACTTGATCAGAGTTTCAGTTTAGTAATATTTACATATTAACGGAATAAAAATGTAAACTAAATAAGAAATGTTAATTAAACATTGCTCTAAAAAGCCATTCACAAGTCAATATTTTTGACTGGCGAGACAAGAATTTTCTAATTTGGAAAGAATCTTGCAGCTGTTGAAAAACAATTTTAATTCATTTCATCACAGAATAAGGCAATGTTTTGGATAATCTGTCGAAATTCTAAAGCATGATTCTTATGATTAGTATATAAATCTGTTATAGTTTCGTTTTCACAGGAATTGTAAGTATTAAAAAGCAGAAAAGAGGCAGAAATTCAGAGTCATTTTTGTATAGTATGTGAACTGTAAAAGGTTCATTGTAGAAATTAACAAAGAAGCGCGTGCAAAACATAGAAGTAACCAATGCTGTCTATCTATCTTTCAACTGTGGTAAAAGCTTTTTTTTATTACTCTATTACCGAAAGAAAGAATGGGAAAAGAATAGAAGCAAGAATATTGATTTGTATCGTCAATAGTGTCTATCGAATTGTTCCCGAATTCGAGTTCGAAATCAATTCAACATGTCAATACTCTAAAAGTAATAGTCAATTATGACTTGATTATCCCCTTGGCGTCCGGTGACGTATATATACATTCTACTTTTTTCACTTAAAATACCAGCTATTTATAAATACGTCTGAATGCAGTTATTGGACAAAAATGTCACTGGTATATTCTTTGACTATTTGGAAAAGCGTTTTATCTGTTGACTTACGAGCTAGGGTCATGAAATCATGCTAGGAGTCTATCGTTGCTAAACTCGTCACGCATTTCCGTTCGTCATTTTACATATGAATAGTATGCGTCACAGTTCTTTTTTCTTTTTCTGCATTCATGTATATTTGCAATGTTTGACCTACTGTTGGTATATTTCTCTCGTATTAGTTATTCTGTGTTGGATTGTACCCTCTTAGCTTATTATCATTTTGGGATTTTTCAAGATGGGAAAACTTTTTTTCTGTATCACCTTATGTACTAATGTTTATGTGATACAAAAATGAAATTTCTTTCAAAAAAATAAAAATAAAAACCATATTTAAACATTTCTCATAGAACCTTGGATTTTCGGGATAAAAGCCGGACGTCAAAGAATTATTTATAAGATCGTCGTCCAGATTCTTAGTTGCAAAATTCGAAGTGACTATCAGAATTAGATTAAAAGTCACGACTACGGTTCGAGCCTGAATTCGAAAATTTTGTATTCGAAAGGTTTTAGTCATTGAAGAACAAGACTTTCATAACATATCATGTCTTGATGTCTTTTTCTTCGTCTATACTATGAAAATTATCTTTCGCAAAATTAATGATGATATGTTTTCTTTTTTTAGACTTTATTCGTGATCGTAGTTCATCAAAATTTCAACAAACTAAAACATATGATGACATATTTGATTTTCGTATACAATTTCAATATAATCCTTGTACACGTAGTGATCAAATGGATACAATTGAATATGAATTACATCAACAATTTCCATTACTTAGTTCAAAGTTTAAAAATGAAAATATTTTACAACCATTAAATAATAATATAAATGATGATCAAGAATTTTATATATGTAAAGAATTATGTCCATATGTACATTTTATTCGACGTGATTTTGGTGATGTTTATCAACATAGTGGTGATGATAAATTATTTGAAAATTTTACTATTTATCTTGAATCATCGGTTGAATATCATATTAATCATCAACAATCTACATGTAAACGTGAATTAGCTACACATGGAATAGTTTATGCTCGATTAGATCTTAATACAATGGTGTCATCAAATTCAATTGATGAAGATTTATTAATAGAAAAATTATGGAATATGGGTGAAGGTTTAACATCCATAGCTGGTCAATATACCACATCAGAAACTCAACAATCAACAAATTATTATACACATGATGGAAATAAATATACGGCTCAAGATGAAGCACTTGTTCAAACAATACTTAAACAATCAACATTACATTCAATGCTTGGCTTAACAAATGATGCAACAGATGATGAAATTGAACAAAGTTTTAAGCATATAACAAATCAATTAGATATGAAATGGAATTGTATTCGAGCTGGTATATATGCTCGTGATAAAATTTATGCGTTTTATAAACAGTACTTTAACACACCGAATTGAAATATTTGTAAAACTTTGTTTTTTTTTTTTTTTTCGTTTTTCTTTTCAGATATTTATAAATTATTACTCATTTTGTAAATAAAATAATTCTACATAAATGATTATAAAATATGGTTTTATTTTTTTTAGATATAATTTCATTGTTGGGAAAAAAAATGGATAATCAACAATCCACTAAAATGCCAAAACCATTCGATACTGATCCTGAATTAAATACATCAACTATGGAAAGTAATCCACAACAATTTGGATTACGAGAAGATGATGGGTTCAAGCAAGAAGACGATTATCGACAAGGTAGCTTTTTTGGATTATTTTTCATTCTTAGAAAAAAAAAAAAACGACGTGATTATCAGTGCAAAGTTAAACAACATTAACATATGAGTCATTTTATTGAAATTTTAGCCTATTGCATGGTATGTGGAAAAGGATCAAATGACAATATTTTTAACTGAAATTTTACTCATAGATAGGTTTATTTGTAGCTCGAATGTTCTGAAAATTGCATTTGAAAAGAATGTTCTCTTCATGATATATTTGATTCCTCAAAAATAAGTCATTTCAAGAAAGATTCGAGAATCTTATGTCGTTTTAGAAAAAAATGCAGTATCATGCGAAAGAAAGATTTTCTTTTTGAGTTGAAATTCTCAGCACATTCAACTCACAAATAGGAATATCTCTGAGAAAAATTTTAGGTCAAATTATCATCAACAAATTCTTTTCTATATGTCGTCCTGTTAATTAAAACTTCACTACAACGTTTGAAACTCTGTAGGATAGGTCTAAGTGCCTTTATTCCTTCGAAGTTTTTAATACCTTATTGTACTCGACCTTATGAATTGAGTTCGAGCTCAAAAGTGGTTTTTCAATTTTGGAAGATTTCCTCATTCGTAAGTTTCTAATTGATGAATAATTTAGCATGAAAAAATTCGTGACTAGCGAGGAAAGGTCCCCAACTGATCAATCTCTTTTGTGTTGAGACTATGTGCATTATGTAGGTACAAATTAATTATGAATACCTTAAAAAAAGTTCGGACTGCTAGCTTATCGCTACGGAGATACTGCACTTTTACGGTATGTTTTTAATTAAATGCAGTGGTCCCCCTCAGGAAAACTAGAAAAAATGATTTTCGAATTTCGACTTGAAACTTTACATAGAAACAGGTCTTACTGAGAATAGTGTTTTGTGATAGGTTCAGATCTTATCGCTATTCATATCCGTAGATACAACTATGGTAACTTCATTCAGATAAACCAGAAGCTTTCATGTTCTTATTTCAGAATAGGAACAGCGACAAGATCTGAAACTTTCATAAAACACTATTCTCAGTAATATCGCTTTCTATGTAAAGTTTCAAGTCGAAATTCGAAAATCATTTTTTCTGGTTTTCCTGAGGGGGACCACGGTATTCGTTTAAAAACATATCGTAAAAGTGCAATATCTCCGTAGCAATATGCTGACAGCCCGAACGTTTTTCAGGGTATTCATAACTCATGTGTACCTACATCATGCACATAGTCTCAACACAAAAGAGATTGATCAGTTGGGGACCTCCCTTTCGTAAGTTTTTGAAAATACTTAGCATATATATATAAATTACTTTTACATTAAACTCACCTTCTATCTTCAGCTACAATTTATCATTCTAGAAACCTATGTAGGCTTAGAATACTATTTTGGTTGTTCTACAAAGTGTGCTATTTATTTTTGTATAGAAGATTTTAAAACTTTTATTTGTAAAAGCGTTTATTAAAACTGATTTTTTTAGCAATGTCAATTTTCATAGAAACTACCTCTTTAGTGGAAACGCATCGGTAAGATTTTGCTTATTGTAATATCTTATTTTGTACATTATTCAATGCTTTACAATAACATTCAATTGAAGCTATTCCAAGATACAAACTGTGTAAAATAAAGAATATGCTAAAATCGATATTTCGCTTTTAACAGATACAGTTTCGAACTTTCTCACATAAGGCACTGATGGTTATTAAATCTTACCACACAAAAGAACAATTAGAACATGTTTTCCGATTTTAATTAACTGCTTTTGGCTCTAACGAGTTGTCTTTTAGTGATTGAAAATTTTTTGTCAAGACTTTCGCGTTATAGATTATTATTCAATTGAGAACTAAAGAAGTTAATCGAATATTTTTATTGTAGAGAAGAAAGATAAACAATAAAGCATGATGAAATTCACTTGCTTAATTTCAATTATTTATATAATCATAGATTCGAAAATCTATTTTGTTAGATCTTACAGATGTATAAAATCTCATCCATCTTGATTTGTTCGAATTCAAGTCAATAATAATAAATTTTAGAATACATATATCACTATTAAATATATTTTCATTTATCAAATAAAATTTTTTATTTAATTCTTTAGAATTAATGAAGGTTCAAGATGAAATTGTAACGTTACGTCAAGTACTTGGAGCTAAATTAAGACGTGAAAGTGAACTTAAAACACTATTAGGTGTTGGTTTTGTTGATGATCTTAAACAAGATTGGCAAGAAACTGTTCATGATATTAAATCATCAACGGCTTATCAAAAAACAGCTGAAACATTACAAGCTGCTTCAAATAAAATTGCTCCAGCTTTTCAAACGGTTAATACAACATTTAAAACACGTCTTGGTTCTCTTAGAAGTAATTTCTTTTTATTTATTATTTTCTTTTGTTATATCTACATATTTTCAATTTTAAGATTCAAATTATTTCAAAACATTTGAAAATACACTTGGTTCAACTGTTACTGCTGTTAAATCAAAAATGACATCATCAAAATCAGCAATGCATTTTAATGGAAACGATACAAATGACATGAGTCATGGAGCAACAGGTGGACCTATGTCTACTAGTGCATCGCATGATGAATATCTTAATTTTAGTGACGGTTCAAGTGAAAAAAAAGATTTAACAAATAAATAAATAAATAAACAAACAAAGCAGCAATATAAAATAAAAGTATATCTATATGTATCCATACATCGATTGCAGACCAAAATTAACGATAACAAAAGAACGTTTTCAGTTTATTCATTCATTTTCTTTGTTTGTCTTCTTGGGTTGCAATTATTGTAATTTCTTCTTCATATATTTATCAACATACATACTTATTCAATGATTTGTCTTGTTTTTTCGTTCTCGTTTATATATTATTCTCTATTGAATCTGTATCATTTTTATTGAAGTTGAGTTTTGTGAAAAAAAAAGCGCATATATCATAATCCAAAAGTAACATTTCAATAAAGTCATTTTATTCATCTTATTATTTCTTTTTTCTTCGGTATTGTTGTATAGTTTGATGTCATTTTCATCAGTTTCTTTTCTGTTGTCGTTACGTATTTCTATTAATTTCTTTTCTTCCGTTCTGAATAAAAAACAAAAAAATTCAAAAATAACTTAACATTTATAAATCTGAATTATTTAAATGATCATTCTAGATATGGGAGGCTGGAAATTAGAAGTTTTTCGTAAGTATAGAACAAAAAGAAAACACATATTTGAAGACTAAAATATTTTATACTCAGGCATGGCATGTTACGTAACTTTTCCACTTGCGGCTATGTTTTTATTCAGTCGACCTGAATTATTTAAAGAACGAGTTATTGAAGCTCGAAAACGATTTCATCCACCACCAAATCCTGAACGAGTAAATTTAATTGATTAATATTTTGAATCATAATGAAAAATGTTTATTTATATTAGGATGATTTAATTCAACAATTAAAAGATCGAGAACGACTTCGTCGAGAAGCTGAAGCTCTTGAACAAATGAGTCATTTTCAAACTAAACAAAAAGATTCACATGCAACTTGAATGTTCTCAGTTATTCTGATTTCTTTTTTTGATTTTTACTAGTTATAAAAGTTTTGCTGATCTAGAAAACATATTGTAGATTAATATAATTTTCTTTTGGAAATATAATGTATGGATCCTGCAACAACAGCCGTTATTAATTATTTAGGTATATGATGTTCCTTTTTTGTAATGTATAAAAATAAATAATCAATTTGTTAATTAGAACAACGAGCTGAAATTGATCGAGTTCATGTAAAAGATAAAAGTACATGTTCATTAGATGCTTTTCTACGTTGGGAAGAAGTAAGAGAATTCAATAGAATGAAATGAAAATATAATATTTTTGTTTTTTGTGTTACATAGAAAAATGAATGTGAATTACCTGATGATCTGAAAAAATTCTATACAATGTCAGATGGACTTGAAGTACGATGGTCAATTAAAACAGGAAGTAATGCATATGCAACAGGAAAAAAAAACCAAAAATTTATTTTGTTGATTTTTCTTTCTTTCTCAAGATGCCATACCAACATTTATTGGTAAAATGTATATAAATTCATTAAATGATTTAACGAGAATAACATCATCAGGATCCAAACAAACGGCAGTTGATGAATTGAATGATTTTGCTGAGAATGGTATGTCATCGTTTAATAGTAAATCATTTTATGGATTTGAAAATATTTTAGATACGCCTCGATTCAATTCTTGTGCATGGTATATATTTGAACTTGATCCTTGTGATGGGCAAGGACGCGTTTGTCTTGTCTATAGCCCAGTATGTATTAGTACTAAGAATAATATATATTCGAATTCGTTCGATTATTTCAAATAAACTAAAGAGGGAAGGCCCCCAACTGTACAATCGCTTTTGAGTTCGGATCCTGTGCATAAGGTAAACCCCAGTGAAGTATGAAAAACTCCAAAAGGATAACGGCCCTTAGGCCTTCTGTTCAGAGTTACAGGGATTTTACTGGAATTACAGCCTATGGCATGGTATTTACCAAAATATCGAATGACGATATTTCGGATTGAAATTTTGCCCATAGACAGGTCTAGTTGTGAATAGAATGCCCCGAAAATTTTAGCTCAAAAGAATGTTTCCTTCCCGAGATATTAAAATTTCAAAAATCACTCATATTTCACGAAAGGTGCTAGAATTTTCTGTTTTTTTGGACTTTT